GAGATCAGACGTCTAAGTGGAGTCAAAAAGTGACTTTTTAAATTTTTGGATTTAGGGTTTAGACGTCGGTTCCCCCCATAACAGACGTCTAAAGTGCTTTAGAAGTCGGAGTGGCGGGATCAGACGTCTAAATGGAGTCAAAAAGTGACTTTTTAAATTTTTGGATTTAGGGTTTAGACGTCGGTTCCCCAATTAACAGACGTCTAAAGTGCTTCAGAAGTCGGGGTGGCGAGATCAGACGTCTAAGTGGAGTCAAAAAGTGACTTTTTAAATTTCTGGATTTAGGGTTTAGACGTTGGTTCCCTCCATAACAGACGTCTAAAGTGCTTCAGAAGTCGGAGTGGTGAGATCAGACGTCTAAATGGAGTCAAAAAGTGACTTTTTAAATTTTTGGATTTAGGGTTTAGACGTCTGTTCCCTCCATAACAGACGTCTAAAGTGCTTTAGAAGTCGGAGTGGCGGGATCAGACGTCTAAATGGAGTCAAAAAGTGACTTTTTAAATTTCTGGATTTAGGGTTTAGATGTCGGTTCCCTCCGTAACAGACATCTAAAGTGCTTCAAAAGTCGGTTCCCTCCATAACAGACGTCTAAATAGAATAAATTTTTTTTCTTTTTTAACTTTTTCGTTTAGTTTTGGCGTCTATTTGGGGAAGCCGACGTATATGAGTATTTAGACGTCGGGCCCTTCCATAACCGATGTCTAAATAGTTGTTTTATTTATGAAAAATGCCACCGGTCATTTTTTACGTTGGATATTCGAGGGTCAGACGTCTAAAGGGTGACGTTAAAGGTCTTTTTTGCACTAGTGGAAACATACTCCCCTCACAAGGAACGACCGTGGATAGAGGCAGAGGACAGTGTACGACAGTGAAAAAGACACTATAGAGAACTATATTAGAAGAGCATAATTGAGGTACTCAAACACAGGTGTTCAAAGACAAAATTCTTAGGACGGTCGACGACAATGATAGTATAGAACTCAAACAACCTGCTTTGATATCATATTGAATAAAGTGAAAATTATGCATAAGAATAATCTATCTTGTGTTGAATATACACGTAAGATACTTTATTTATAATATAGACTAAACCCAAAATATAAATATAGAATAATAACAAACTAACTAAAGATAAAAACTAAAGATAATATATCTAACGGTATTAAATATGTTAACTTCATATCATATTTATAAACCATTGGGCCTTTTACCTTAATGATGATCTAAGCATGATCCAATTACTTTTAAGCTTGTTTAACATGATAATTACATAATTAATTACCAAACTTGTCTTTCTTCGTATTTAAATCGGAAAACATGATGTTAGCAAGATTGATCCATGTAGCTCTCTCATCACATATTTTATCACCTTGAGTTTGATGTAATATAAATACACATTTTAAAATATGTTTTCAGTTTTACATAACTGAGACATACACACTTCAATAATAAGAAAGACGAATCAGATTTTATATATTTAAGAAATACATATAATAGTTCTCCCAAACTTAATAAAAAAATAGTTTTGTTATAAATGGTGAATGAAAGAAGAAGAGTTTGATATGACAAAAGTTGTTATGATCATGTAAACGAGTGGGGCATGAACATTAATTACAACTTTCCTTTTCTTATATTAGGAATTCCTAGCGATGAAATAATCACTAGGAGCCAAGCGAACGCAGTCGCTGAGCCTGTGGTCAGACGCAGCTACCGTCCAATAACAACCCATGCTTGTTTCTCCTCTAAGATAACTAAATTCTTTTCATTGTTTCTTCGCTTCGCTGTGTCACTCTCATTCATCCACCCTTCTTCTTCTTCAATCAATCGTCACTAAATTCATCAACACTTCATACTAAATTATTCTCCTCTTTATTTATGTGCATTACATTCTCCCCTTTTAAATATATTTGATTTTATTAGGTTTGTAGTCCACTGGAAAAAGGGTTATTCCTTTGGTTGGGCACGATTTTAATAAATCCTTTACTTAACTCACTTAAACCACTAAAAGAATATTGAATTGGGTTGGATTTTTTTTTATGATTTTTTATGTTAAATTTAATATAACTCAATGTATACCTGCCGACAAAACTTATAAATACTTGAGAATTCAGGGAGTATCGAATCTAACGAGATGATGATGCTTGTTAAGCTATAGCTTGTATATTAGCCTTGCTAGGATTGATATGCAATGCAATGCTTGTTAAGATGGGCAGTTTTAATATTCACAGAATGAGGCTTAATGCAGATTTTAACCACATGAATGCACATGCAGTTCTTAAATGCCTAATATGAATGGATTAATATGCATAAAAGAACTGCAAAATTGAAATTCCTAAAAGACAGCAGAATTAACACGACAACATTTTGTTACAGCAAGCTAAACTTTCAAGTTAACACGACAAAATTGAATGATTAACCATTGAGAATAGTTAATGAATCACATTAAATTGGTCTATAATCTTCCTTCTATAGAGTACCTTGAGTTCCTTCTTGATTTTCTCTTTTAATGGAGATGAAGAGAAAGAAATATGAATAATGAACGTCCTCACAAATGAGGACCATGACGTTTTTATGTAATCTCTCTTGGTTACTTTTCTTAAGTTCCAATATTTCAATTTGGCCCTTCAACAAATTAAAATATCACTTGTGGTCTCTACATACTTTCATGATGTATATGTCTTTTACCACATTTACTTAATTAGATTATAATTAGCTAATAAAATACAATGGCCCTAACATATTTAATGATTTATTATATATATATATATATATATATATATATATATATATATATATATATATATATATATATATATATATATATATATATATATATATATCCATATAAATCCTCACAAATGTGTTAGATTTTGTGAGCTCAATATTGCTATTATATACCTTGAACATATCCAAAAGATCTCGTCCATTAGTTATATCCGCATGTAGAACTAAAGTAGTTTACATTCATCAATCACAATCAAACCTGACAATATCACTAATGTTGATGGAACCAAAATGACATGGATTCCTCATAAAATGTGTAGTATGAAAATTATGTGAAGGTGACTTGTACATGTCTATTTTTCACTGACCATTACTTTATCTCAATGAGATCAATACAATAACCTTAATATACAGAGTGTAATTTCTGAAGAATAAACCTTATATTTATTAAACCAAAAATTTCTAAACGAATGTATGCATACATGAAAACCAAACATAAAACACAAACACATAAAAGTGACTAACTCCCACTCTGAACCAAAAATTCCTCAAACTATAAAACATCCATATGCGCATTATGTTCATGAAAGACCTTGGGTATAAGAGCCTTATTAAGAGGATATACCATTAAGGAATGTGTCCCTAAGTGTTCTATGGAAATTCATCCACTCTATCGATCTCTTCCTTGGTAATTGTTGTTGGCAAAGCCTCTTTTATGCAAACTTATTTTCCTTTATACTTTTCTTGCCTCTCTTTCTATGTATCTATTATTTTTGTATGTCTCACTATCTCTTTCTCTATCCCTTTTTATTTTTTACGATAGGATGAATATTTATACACACATTGTAATATCCTTGTAATCTTGTTTTAGGTGTGAATTAATTGACAATGAACAAATAGAGAAATAATTGATCTTGATGGCAATATATTTTAAAAATTAATTAAATCAAATAATATATGGCACATTGATTATAATTATTGTAAAAAAATTTGCCAATTTTTAGATGATATATTTCTATTTTATAATTATTGAGCAACACCGACAAACAAATTGAGCTCATTTTATTTCATTATTATTTGTTATCATATTTACTCTTTTGACCTAAATTAAAGTTTGAAAATTTTTAAAAAAATTATTTTATTTTGTCTCTTCATATATTTTTATATATTTTATTATTTTTTACCTTTTGTTACTATTTTATTATTATTTATTATTACTATTTATTATTACTATCTTTTATTATTATCTTTTATTATTATTTTTATTTGAAAATGAATTAACTAACTCAGACGAAATTGCATATTAACAAATAAAAAAAACTTATGTTAAATTTTATTCATGTTAATGTGATGAAGAATAAGGTAAGAGATAAGTAAGTTACAAAATCAATCCATTTATCTTATTCATTTTTTCAATCTATAACTAAAATTATGCATAATAAAAATAAAAAATTAAATTACATTAATATATTTTTATTTTATAAATGTTTAAGGATTCAACATTATTTTTTAAAATTCAATAGATTGGAAGAAAATTAATTCAATACCAAATTTTTGTAATTAAACATTTCATATTTTTTTAATTTAAAAAAAGTAAATTTGTTTTACAAAATATTAATTTTCAGCATTTTTGAATGATAATTTTATTTTGAATTTTTAAACACGTACTTTGACGGATGAGTTGGATATCTTTCTATGAAAAATTCTCCATAGATGAATCGATTGAGTTATATATTAAATGAAAATGGGATCAAGTTTTTTATTAATCAAAATAAATTAATAGATTATTTCATCCAGTCCATCATTATAATTCAAAGTCAAATTTATCCAAATTATTTTATCATGTTACCTTTGTCACTAGAGACCACAACATTTTAGTCATAATAGCATTCACTCGTACCACTATTATAATGAAAGGAAAATAATATAAAAAAGAAAATTAAAATTAAAATTATCTTTTTCAATTTAATGAAATTTTTGGGTTAACAAATTTTCAACAATGTTATCTTTAAAAAATCAAAATGACTTATTTTTAAATTAGAAAACCTAAAAACGCATTTTAAATTGAGACTAAAGAGATGTTTCTAAATTTAGAGGACTGCTAAAACTATTATTAAATTAGAGATTTAAAATATTAGGTCTATATTTGATAGACTAAAATATCCCTTTAAGATTAAGAAATTAAAATAAAATTTAATTCAAATTTTAGGTACTAAAAGTTTTATTATTTACTTTTCCCTCCTAAGCTAGAATTATACAGGTAATCCTTACCTTCATAGGGGTAATATTTCTATGAAATAATAATCAATGTCATCAAAATTCTACTTACAGGTTCACTTATATTACAAAGTGAATACACATTTTTAGATTTACACTACAAGTTTGCAGCAGCCTGCTACAATCTGAACATCAACCACCAAGCACTTGCTGCCACTAAATAAAATAAAACAACATAGTGAGGAATAAAAATGCAACTAAGTGTTGAAAAGGGACATTATGTGAAAAAGAAGTTTATGCATCGCTTTATATATATATATATATATATATAATTTCTTTTATGTATCTTTCCCTTTTCTTTCTCATTGTTTTTGTTAGAAATTTTACATTAATATAATCAAATTATGATATATACAGTTTAAACACCACTTTACAAACAGAATTTTGAGATTGAATTAGATTTTAAATTTGATTTTTGAAATTGAGTTAGACTTTAAATTTGTTTTAAATTTATTTTCTAATATGTTATCAAAACTTATCATTGTCTATCCCTAATAAGGTATATCAGGCCTATTCAGTCATTCGATACAGTCATTTGATATTGGATGTCTCTATTATCGTACTCAAAATATTCATTCCTTAGTGTGGGAAAATGTCTTGGAAATACCAGATTGATTATGCCCAAAAATATTTAATATATAAGTGTAGTGTAAATCTAATCCTATAAACCTCATTTTATAAATTAGGTTTTGTAAAACTTAGATTCAAATTTCACTTCATAATAATTCTCTTTCATCATCTAGCATGAGATAGACATTTATATTTTGGAGTGTAATAATATCACTTTTGAAAGGAATGTTGATTTTCGGACTTTGTTTTTCTTATATAAAGATACGTTATCATCATGGATAAGCTCTAATAAACTTGTCTATATACATTGAAGGAAAACTTCTTAAGTTAAATTAATTTTGTGTATTGGTGTTAAAAACATTGCAATGGGGAGCTTATTGAGACTATTTTAGCTCCTGATATCTCACATGCTAATAATAGACTTAAAAATTTAATGTTTTACCTCCTCTCATTATATTATTAGTAACAAGCATCAACTACATAATTATCATTTTCTTTAATCCTTTTGGAAGGAGTTTGCTTTTTAATGTTTCCTAACATGAGTTTAGTTTCATCCTCATGTTTTTTATTTCCATTTTTAGATATAATAATTTTTCATAGGAAACATATCATTGATAAATTTTGGAATGTGAACTTGAGATATAAAAATTCATACCGGTGTTTCACATAAGTTTTATAATAAAAAAACACTTTATGTATAAGTTAAAAGTTTGATTTTGGAAAAGTTAATATAAAAAAAAGTTTCTACTTTATACCTGAATTAATTTAAACTTTTTTTTTAAATGTTTATCTTATATTCTCCTTTTGTTATTTTTTTTCCTTTGAAAACACTTACGCATAAATTTACCCAAATTACCTATACCATATCTACAAATTACATTGATTGCATCCTATACACATATATTAATGGACTTCAAAATTTATGAAAAAAAAAAATAGTGAGACCAAATTTAAATTTTAACTAATGCTGTAACACTAAAAGTTTAATCAAGCCTACAAAAAAGTTTTTAGCCATATTGCCGACATGGATGAAGGACAGAAATGTAAAGCAGAATTTAGAGTTCAAAGAAATTACCTACGAAGAACCTTGAGTTGCCGAGCACTTTGAACATAATCCATGCACACACTGCTAGACACTTTGTTCTATTGCTTTGATCTGAATTCCACGTTTCAAAATGGATTTATAAGCTGGAGTTCTTGACCATTCATCAATTTCACTAGCACGTAGAACAGGCAGAGGATGTGACAGTTGCCTTGTTTGTGCATTCCTAATCAGCAGCCAGAAGTTTAGCTTCTGAATGGAAACAAAATCCTAACATAATTTTCCAGTGCCCTAAACAAGACGCTACAAACCTTATATACCATCCAACTGGGCTGGAAGCAGCTTTTTCATAAGAGCGAGCTTGCTCCAGGAATGCATCCACATTTAGTTGATCAGCCATAGATGGACATCCCCCGGCTAATTTCATGAGGACAGAGATGACGACCTCTTGTGGGGTTGGGGAATTAAAAGTTTATAATTCAGTATTTCAATCAATATACGATGATAACCAATTTACATATATCAGCATAGTAGCATACCTTAGGGTCTTGAGCAACTAGAAGGGCTGCTCGATCACAAGTCAGCTCAGCAGCTCGAAGCCAGCGGAATAGCTGCTCTTCTAAAGTTCGAGCTATCATACCACCAATGCCTACAACAGATGGCACTAGTTATGAAAAATTGAGTTGAATAAAGAAGACAAGACTTCATGTTCTCATCAATATTAAAACAAGAGCTGCAACGGATAGAGTTAAATATATATCCACTGTCAAAATAAGGTACCCTTCCAAAGATCAAAGAAAAAAGTTCGAAAATATTGCATTATGAGCAAGCCTTAAGGTTGTTAAACTCAACTAGTGATAAGAGTGACATGGATTTTATTCACTGTTCTATCTGTCGGAGTAAAAGAAAAGAATGTTTCTCCAACTTTGATCATTCAATGTAGCTAACTACTTTACCATAGTGTATACATATCCATTTGTGGGCATTAATACGTCTATGAAAAAAAATTATACTCTATGTAACCTACCAGGTACAGTATAGGCTCCAAGGGTTAGAATATTTGCGTAAGTAAGCCACACACCATGATCACATTTTAGATGACCTAGCTCATGAGCCAAAACAGCCTGTTAAAGTGAAGTGATCACAGGTAAATAACATTTGGAACCAGAACAATGGACACGATAGAAAAAGATGGTTTGAACAATAATTGATCAGGCATCTTGGAAGAGCAAAATTATATATCATGTAATGGATCGTACATCCAACATCATTCAACAGTGAAATGGGGGCACTTTGTGGATACTAAAAAACTGTAACAAAGAAATACATTATAACCTGCAACTCTGCTTTTGTAAGGAGCTCCACAAGGCTAGTATGAATGACAACAAAAGGTCGTTTACCACTTATAGCTAAAGTATACGCATTTGGTACAGGACTTTGACGAACATATAGATCAGGGGCATCAACATTTAATATTTCTGCAGCTTCGACCATTAGGTGGTAAAGATCAGGAAGCTGACAAAACAAGAGAAAAGTTTATTTAATTACTTGAGGTAACATTAGATGTCAACAACTCAGCAGGAAACTAATTGTATTAATAGTATTTGCCGATTCATGTTTTATAAAAAAATTACATTAACATTATTGTTACAGGCAGGAACACTAACTAACTACATGTAATTAAAGATAATTATGTCACACAGCTCAACTTAGTGGAAATAAAAATGCGAAGGGAGGATACTTCACAGTTCTCATGTATTTAATCAGAACCAACATGGATAAATTGGACAAGTTAATTTCCTCATCTGTCAAGAAGGGTTACACAGACTCATGCATACAAGTACACAATCAATTGAATGTACTCTGACAGTCTGATTCTTCATTTGTGAGGAATAAAATAAAAGAAAGTGGAATTCACACAAATAATTATAGAGCTTTTCCAACATACATTGTTTTTTCCAATGCATATACATTGTCATATTTGAAATTCAAATATGTAAAAATTCATTGACAACTGTATTTTCGTTCTTTTGCAAGTAGTAGCAGTGAAGTGCAACAAAATCCTTCATCTCCACAAAATAGGCAAGGACTATCCCATGCAGGAAAAGTTTATCTATTATATTGTGCATCTTCCTATAATGTCCTTTGCAGGTACTTGTTTAAGGATTTTAATTAGTGTAAAGGATACCTGACTTTTAGAAACAAGGACAGATGTCCCGATGTTCTCAAGGAGCATAACCTGCTCAGCTACAGTGCCTGCATTTCATTTTAAGGGAACCATGTCATACAACAAAAACCATGACTGAAACATGGACCTACTACAATGACAACTATTTTCCCACTGGTATCTGAAAGCATGTTGCAGTGATGAATATTCTTAATTAGTATACAGTGGTGGTGTTTTGTGCCCCAAAAAACCAATTGAACATCATTGATCATCATATAAAACAGACAAATTCACTATTTATATGGAAAAGAATAACCACGCCACAACCATGCAGACAAATTCACTATTTGCAAAATATATATTGTGACTTTTTTACCAACTTAAATAATTTCAGATGCTTGCATAAACTACGTGAATTTGCATGGAAATATTTGAGGGGTATGAGTCTTAGAGATTCTTGTATATCAAGGGCGCGTTTGGTCAACATGTGGGAATGGTATCCAATAAGACAAAGGGTTCTATCCCATGTTTGTACGTTTTAAAAACGGAATACAATAAAGTATGGAGTTAAAAAAGATGGCACATCTTGATTCCACTAAATGATTGGAATATTAAGGAGAACAGAACAAAACCTTTCTAATTCATTTGGTGCGCGGCCAAATGCTACCTTAGTATACCTGTCAAAGGTCTACTGGGTCAATAAACAATTTACACCAATGATCCTAGTAGTTACCAGTTGATGATGACTCAATACTTATGACAACTTAAATACATCTCCTATATAATTTTAGTATATTCTTATCAGAATCATTGTTTCACTTCAATAATATATGTAATAAATGTTTGCATTAAAGGTTTATTAGAAATATCCAAAGATATTCAGACATTATCTTACATTTCTAATAGTCAGCATAAGTTCGGTGGTAAAATTTCACTTCTGATTGGAGAATAACAGTAAACACACCCAAAGGACTTCATATAGGTTTTGTCCAACACTTTTTCTAACTCATATTCACAAATTCAGCTAGCTAGTATGATAGGATTGTCCTCCTTCTATATAAACTACTTTAGACATATCACTAGTCAACGTGACTTTCCAACCACTATATTACTTCGAACACCCAAGTTGGGTAAACGAGGATTATATAAGAATCATTTTATTAATATAATTTCGCACAAGTACCATTTCTCGGTAAATCTCCATCGTCCACTAAAAAAATAGGGTGCAAAAAAATAAGTTAGAATCGTCCAGAACTCCTAATTAGAGCAGTCTTAAAATATGGATTTTGAGTGAAACGCAACCCTACAAAACCGAACTTTAAGATTGATAATTTTTCTCATTCATACACTATAATTTCATAATACTCTTCGTCAACTAAGATCTCAACAAATTACACATACTATTAAACATCACAAAAACTCAATAAACCACAACACGGCTACTTAGAACACGAGGTATCTGTTTGTTACCTAGAAGAGCCTTTCCAAGTTCGTTTAATCCTGGAATCGCTCTCAGTATCACCGTATTCTGGAACATCAAAATGAAAACCTCACCACGAATCATTAGCGCTTCCCAGAAAACAAAAATCAGAAAAGAGAAAACTACTTATAGAACTCAGAAAAAGTTAGTAAATTGATTTTAACTCAGAAAAAGTTAGATATATTTGTAGAAGACGGAAGAAGAAACCTGAAATAAATTGGACGCACCTGTTGATCAAGCGGGTGTCGAAAATCGTCAGCGTCGAGGTCTCGGAAGGCGACAGCAGAACTAATTCTGCAAACGGGTAAAGTTCCCATTTTGCGGTTCTTCCGAACTTTTGGGAACGAGATCGCCGACGCGCCGCAGAAACTGGACCTGTCCAACGCTAGGAAGCGGAGGGAGGGTTTGTGGAAGTGGCAGAGAGTGGAGAAAGGCGTGGAAGCCATTGGATTGGAGAGACGCAATGGTGAACTCGTTGAGAATGAGAAGTGGAGAGAAATGGTGTGGTAGATATTTAGGGGTGGATTTGTCTAAGGTTGTTGCTAACGTAAGGGTGGTTTTGACCACATTCGTGCATATGGTACCTGTTTCGTGCCACTTCATTTTCTGTTGACAACTTCACCCTGTGAACCAACGGGTGCAGGGTTGTGTTCGTATTCGCAGGTTGTGTTATGTTCCCATTGTCCAATTATATTTCACATTTTTCCGTGTTTCTTATAAGAGACTACTGGTCGCCATTATTCTTTAGACGAATGAATTTAGTTTTTTTTTATAGCAATTGAAAATAAATTAAAAAATTACAAATAGATATTAAACTTATATATCCATTGGAATAAATATACTAAAGAGTAAGATCCAACCAAACCCTCTTAAGCTTCTTGATCTTGGAGTAGTTCATTATATATCTATGGGAAGAACATTCACATATTAATGAAAATGATAATTAATTTTTTTAGTTTGATATCATGGTTATTATTTACACTAAAGTATCATTTTGTTATTATTATTTACTTAAGGTAAGTATTATTTTTAAGATATTATTCAATATCACAACATAGGTTAATAGTCCATGTTAATTCTATAAATACAATTAGTATTTTTTTAAGAAATATTCACTCAATCTCATAGACACTCTCTCGTACTCTCTCTTTTATTCGTAAAGATCAAATCTCTATATCTCACTATAGTTTAGTGGTATTAATTTCATTGCATCAACGACAACGTTATCACTAATCCAACAAAACAACGAATAGCGCTATGTTGCCAAGCTTGAAGCCCTACAAGCTCAACATCAGGCAAACTTCCAAAAGCTTCAATATAAGTTGACCGCATTGGAGAATGAGAAATCACCTCCCTACCCTAGGCCTAACTCCCCTAGAGAAGGCCCGCATAATTCTCGGGTGCAGTGCAGCATGCCAACATGACGAGGTTCGTGAAGTACACATGAAAATACTAGAGGGGGTGATATGTTGTCGTTGACGCTATTAAATTAATACTACTTTACAGGACAACTTAATTATTACCAAGTTAGTAGTTAACAAACTAGATAAGGTTAAAGTAACCATGAGTTATTTTCCAACGAATACGAAATAACTTTTCAATAATTGCCACTTATGAAAGAGTATGAAAGATTAGTAAAACACAATGCAATGCTTAAAGATAAATGTAAAAATCTATCCTAATGAATTAATATTGAAGATTGATGTGAATTTGAATGAAGAACATATAAAAGACTTTGAAGCAATTATAATAAGATAGGTTAATTTCACTGTTTTTCGAAAAGAGATTTATCATCGATTAGCCACATATTATTGCTCAATTGATTATTGCTTTTGATTTAAAATTAATTAAATTACATTCTTAATTAATTTAAGGGCGATCTTGTTGTCAATCAACGTAGATTCTCAATTAAAAACAAAATCTTTCTAGATACAATAAACTCAACCAAAGTACATTCTTGATTGAATCCTATTATGTTTAATCATATTTATTCTCTTATCTCTTAGCCAAGTTAAAATTTAATTAATCAAAGTACATTCTTGACTAATTATTATTAAAGTTTTTACACTAATCAAAGTACATTCTCAATCAGTAACAAAAACTCATTCAATCATGATGTTAAAACCCTTTTAAATGTATTTTTTAACTCAAACCATTTAATTTCACACTTCAAAGGAATTAAACTTTAACTTCAGCTACATCAACAAAATTTAACTCTCGTTATTGATTTGTGGGGTGACCTGCTAGGTCCTTAAAAATAGAGTGCACCAAACACCATAAATTCTTTAAAACTTTTATCTTAACCTTTTAATCACTAGTGTAGAAGAAACCTTTAACATCACCCTTTAGACGTTCGACCCTCGAATATCCAACGTAAAAAATGACCGATGACATTTTTCGTAAATAAAACAACTATTTAGACGTCGGCTATGGGGGGCCCGACTTCTAAATACTCATATACGTCGTCCCCCCGAATGGACGCCAAAACTAAACGAAAAAGTTAAAAAAAATTAATTTTTTATTCTATTTAGACGTCTGTTATGGGGGAACCGACTTCTAAATACTCAACCTAAAAATTTAAAAAGTCACTTTTTGAGTCCATTTAGACATTTGATTCCGCCACTCCGACTTCTAAAGCCCTTTAGATGTCTGTTATGGGGGAACTGACTTCTAAGTAGTCAGCCCATAAATTTAAAAAGTCACTTTTTGACTCCATTTAGACGTCCGATCCCGCCACTCTAACTTCTAAAGTCATTTAGACGTTTCTTATGGGGGGAACCGACTTCTAAATACTCAACCCAGAAATTTAAAAAGTCACTTTTTGACTTCATTTAGACGCTTGATCCCGCCACTCCGACTTCTAAATGTTTGTATTAAAACACCGCGAACGCGAGGCAACCGTTATGCACACTCACTATTCATCATCTTCCTCGCGTTTTCTCTCCACGGGCTATGTTTTTCAGGTTCGTTTTCTCACTTTTGCATCGTTTTAAATTAATTTTACTCCTATTACATTACTCTTTGATGAATTATCATTAAAATGCGTTTCCATTGGATTTTTGTGTCGTTTTGCTCGGGTTCTTGGGCGGCAATTTCTTGCATTTTGCACTCCTCCAATTCCCTCCACTACGTTTTTAAAAACATCCAATACAAAAAAAAACGTAAATCCATTCTCTTCAACTAAAATATAAAGTGTTAAACTCGAATCACCATGATCCAAGAGCAACCCGAGAGGCCTCAAGCGGAAAAAAATCCAATCAAATACGACAATGTTTTAGACATCTGATATGTAGTGTCAGACGTCTATATGAACGTCTGATATGTAGTGTCAGACGTCTATATAGACGTCTGATCTACAGTATATGACGTCTATATAGACGTATGACTATGCAAACCGACATCCCATTTGACGTCACTCGTAAAGACGTCGGGTCAGAATCAGACGTAAAAGACCCAAAATAGCAGACTTTAAAAGCTTTTTCTGCACTAGGGAATGGTCTTCCTCTATTCATGGTGATGTATATAACTACAAATTTCTATATACCTTACTTTAGGTCCATTGTTGGTTGGTGTAACAGTGAAAGTTATTATTCAGAAAAAGGAACAGAGAAGTCATAAGTTCAAGATGTTGTTAGAGAAGATGTTCTTTGATCCCTTGTCATGAAAACTACACCAGGTATACATTTTTGCTTGTCTACTTCAATCTTTTATTCCATTATTATTCACCCTTAAAGTTGATTTTGTGTAAATATATATTTCATTTTTAACTATACATTTTAATTATGTTAGTTATTTGAAGTTATTCTTCTAAATACAATTAGTGTATTTATTATTACTGTATATATTTTTTTTTGGTTGATTTATCCAATTTAATTACATATTTAACTCTGTTAAGTGTGATTTATATATTTTCTTATAAAAAAAATTAGTAGAATAATTTGTGTTATAGAAAAAAAATAATTTATATTAAATTAGTTATTTAAATAACTTTAAATGCATAAATTTTAGGATATTATATTAATATTTAATATTTAATATTTTAAAAAAATTACATACTCGTATGTAATTACCTATGGATTTTTTCGTATGTAATTATATACAAATTTAACATATGAATTTTTCTGTGTGTAATTACATATAGGTAATTATATATGGAAAAATCTGTATGTAATTACATACGAAAAAGTTGTATGTAACATTACCTAAGATCATTTTACATATGAATTTTTAATCCGTATGTAATCTATATGTAATATTATTTTACATACGAATTTTTTAGCTTAATACAAATTTTGGTTGTAGGTAATAACAATTTTTCTTGTAGTAGTTGAATAGGAAAATTGTCATTTTATGGTTAAGGAAGGAATTGTTTTAGGCCCCAAAATTTCAAGAAAAGCCATTGAAGTTTCTCTTGCTAAGGTGGACGTTATTTCCAAACATCCTCCACCTAATAGTGTGAAAGGGGTATGAAGTCTCCTAAACGATGCTAGTTTTTATAGAAGATTCATAAAGGACTTTGCTAAAGTCACCAAACCTTTAAGCAACTTGTTGGTCAAAGACGACAAGTTCTATTTTGATCAAAATGGTCTCACAACTTTTAAACAACTCAAGTGGAAGTTGAGCTCTACACTTACCATCACACTTCAGAATGGAAATCTAGCTTTGAAATGATGTGTGATGTGTGTGACCATGCTACTAGTGTTGTTTTGGGATAGAGAAAGAAGAATAAGTTCCATGTGATTTATTATGCAAGTAAAGTTCTTGTTGAGATTGTTGATAGGGGGAGCATTGGTTTAGCAAAACCCACAATTTCAGTGATATTTGTGTTTTTTATGATGACAACACATAATTAATAACACATGAGTATTTTGTGTTACATGTTCTAGCCTACATGTTATATGCTTTTGTTAACTATGATAAATCTGTATAAGCATATTTGTTAACATGATTGTGATGTTCATTGCATATCACTGTGTTTAATATGTGATTTTATATGTGTATGCATGACATGAGTTTTTGGAAATGGAAAACCACAAGCACTTTGGTTGAACTTTAATGCGTAGCAAAACAACAGTTTAAGTCGATTACATTATGGGATGAATCGATTAAAACTCGTGTGTTTGCACAAACTTTTATCAAGTGTGCTGTGAATTATTTTGAAGAGAAAAGTTTTCAAAAATGTGCTAAGTGATTTTTCTTAATCGACTGTATGCAATGTGTATTCGACTAAGTTGGTTGTTATTTTGAGAACTGATTGAATGTTTGACATAACTGTCTGAATGGTCATATTTTTAAATATATTGACCAGACATTTATTGTAAGTCGATTGTATTAAATCTGCATTCAATTAATAAGCTTGACTGATGTTAGTCTGTTATAACTGCAAGATGCATTCGACTACATTATTAGCGAAATTGATTAAAACACGTCTGATGTGTGTATTACTATAAATTGACGTTGTTTTGAATTCTGTAAGAACTTTTATGAATTTGACAATTTTCATATCTTTTACAGAAAGTTGTGTGATCTTACAAAGAAAGCAAAAGCTCCAAGAACCAAGATTGACCGTGGTAATCAAAGACTTAAGGTTTCTTGAGAAGCAATGCTTGCTGATTTGAACGTCTGATCAATCTGCACAACTTGGTGTATTCTGCATTAT